AGGACGAGCTGCAGGGTGGGTGGTTCCAGGGGACTGTGATCTGGCTGGCTTGGCCTCCCAGGGAAGAGACGCTGCAGGTTGTGCAGGACGAGCATGGCAGAAGCCTGGTTCCACCACTCCTTACTCCTGCCCACCGCACCTGACCGGTGTGCTGCCCCACGGCACGGGAGCACTGTCCATTCCATCCTCCTCACCGATCCAGCATCAGAGCCCATGCAGAGATCACCTTACCCAGCATAAGTTCGGACTTGCAGGTTGAGATTAACCATACTCCCCCTCAGCTTCTGAAGACAGCAACTCCGCTGAATGTTAATGCCTCTTGCATATACAAAGCCTATTAAAGTGGTCAAGAGGGTCTCCAGGGATTTGGGGGGGGTTAATTCCCAAGCTATCGAGCCAAAAACTCTTGGAAATCTCTGACAAAATCTCTTCCTCTTCACCATGGAAACCAAGAGGAACCCAACCCAGCAACCCACCCAGCATTGAAAAAGCTTTTGTCTCAAATTTAACTACAACAGAAAGATGAGTTACAAAAAGAAAGGGGACACATGAAGAGGCAAGTAGAGCGACTTCCCCTCTACTGTTCACCTCCCCCAATTCGCCGCTTGGTCAAGCTGAAACTAGTTTGAGCCAGAGCCTTCTTCCGAGTCCCGTCCCCCGGTGTGCAGGGGCCCAAGGACTTGGGTCATCCTCTGCTGCTTTCCCAGGCCAGCTGGGGCTTGAGATGCAGGTGGCCGCACAGGTGTCCTCTGCAAGGCCAGAGGGCAGCGGACAGACTGTAGTTCATAACAGAGGAAGAAACTGGGCACCCAGGGGAGGAAGGGAGTTGGGGCTCATTGCTGGTTTGGGGCACAAGCCCAAGCCGCTGGGCCCCCAGTCCCAGGCTCTTTCCAATGATAACAAGACAGATGCCAGCACTGCTGCCCAAGTTATGCCCTGAATGGCAGTGTTTCTAGGGTCTCAAAATTGCTCCTCCTCCACTGGCACAGAGCGCAGTGGCTGCCGATCCAGCTGTGATCCCCAGGCCAGGGAGTGGTTCTCAGAGCCATGGCCTCGCTGCAGCATGAGAAGCTATGGACACTGTGTGCTCCAGGCTCCAGCCCTGGGGTGCAGGGGGCTGTCAGAGCCTGGGTGGCTTTTCGAGGCTCTCAGCCAAGCCCAAGGACCATCAGGCTAATTTTGATTGCATGCAACAGAAAATGCAACTCACTCTGGCTTAACCTACAAAGATCTCCTGCCATTTTCGATCAAGCAGGCCCGGGTAGTCAGCTGAAAGTGATACCATGAAAAACCCAGAAGGCACATTACTCATTCTGTCAACCTCATTGATTCAAACACACACACACACACACACACACACACACACACACACACACACACGCTGTTCCCCCTCTTGGTCACAAGATGGCTGCCACTGCTCCAAATGTTAATCCCTACAAAGTGGAGGTCAGGGCAAGGAGTTCCTGTCTCCCTTACTCTCTCTCTCTTACTGGGGAAGAAAGGCTAAGCATGGCCCAGCAGGAGCTCTGTGAGATCTCTTTGGCCAGGAGGGTGGGAATGTCCCAGCTGGCTTGGAACAATCACGACTCACAAATCAGGCACACATTGCCTACAGAGGCAATGTGTTTGCAGAGATCATGAGGGGCCACCTACTGGGTGGGCAAGCCACTGAATCAGCCACATCCTGGGACAACAGCCAGGCGACCACCCTTAACCTCCTTCTGCAGGGTGCTGGCCTCGGAAAGAAGGTCATAGGTCAAGTGCGTTGGTGAGCTGCTGACCACAGCCCAGAGCAGGGGAAGTTCCTCTCTCAGAGAATTCGCTCCGATTTGAGGTGGAGGAGTCGCTCTAGGAGAGGGGAGGGTCAGGCTCAGGCTGAGCAAGGGGTCAGGGTTGGGGGAGGGGGGAAGTGATGCAGAGAGCAGACTTGGACGAACTGGAGAGCCAGGGCAGGCTTTGGGCCTGGCAAGCTGGCTCAGTGACTAAATCCTTACCTCATAAGCACCAGGATCCCGTACGGGCGCAGGTTCGTGTCCTGGATTTTCGGCTTCCCATCCAGCTCCCTGCTTGTGGACTGGGAAAGCAATAGAGGATGGCCCAAGTCGCCGAATGGACCCTGCACCCACATGCAGAAGAGGCTCCTGGCTTCACATCGGCTTAGCTTTCCGGCCATTGTGGCCACCTGGGGAGTAAACCAGCAGATGGAACAGCTTTCTCTGTTTCTCCCTTTCTCCATAAATCTGATCGGTCTTTTCTATAAAAACAAATAAATTAAAACAAAACAAAAAGAGGGGCAGGCTTGCTGAGCCTGCATACGGGGCGTCATGTGTGGGTGGGCGGGGCAGGCCTGGGGCTGGAGGACCACCCCGGAGGCCTCCTCGAGGACTGGCAGTGGGAGACCAAGACCTCAGTCAGGGAAAGCAGATGGGGAGAGGCCGCCAGAAGGGGCTAGCACGGGAGGGCCCACTGTGGAGGCCAGGAGTCTCGGCAGTCCGCTCCGGCACTCAGCCAGCATAGTGACACCTCCCGTTGGCTGGCTTTGTGGAGCCAGCTGGCTTTGTGCTGTCTGAGGGCTGGCACAGGACCAAACAGGGGGCTTCTAGAAAGGGCTCAGCACGGGGCCTGGGGTAAGCCTCTCACCCTAGCTCTCCCTTCCCCTGCCCGTGTGTGCCACCCACACTGCCATCCCCCGTGGGTTTCTGCCTGAGTTCCCTGGCTGATCAGTTCCCCCACTGGTGGCTCCCAGTCACCTAGACAGCTTTTCCAATCAATATAGCAGTAGGGCCACACTCTTGGGGTGACTGGGGCCAAGCACTGATACCTTCTGAAACCCATTTGGCTGCCTTTAAAAATGAAAGCAAAACAACAATTAAAAAACTTTCTGAAAATTGATGTGCAAGTCTTGGGGGAGAGATTTTCCACCTGCTGGTTCACAGCAGCTGGAACTGAGCCAGGAGCCTGGAACGCCATCCCAGTCTCCCACATGGCCTCCACCTGGGCCATCTTCCACTGCTTTGCCAAGGGCATTAGCAGGGAGCTAGGTTGAAAGGGTAGCAGCCAGTATTTGTACTGGTGGGCAAATGGGATGATGGCACATTGCAGGTGCTGGCACCTCACACATGTGTGACCATGCTGGCTGGGCAGAGCGGAGTCCCTGCTTCCCAGGAGTAATAACATGGCCTTTCTTGCTACTGCCTGTATTTTAGTCACAATCTGTGTTGTAGAGAATGCTCCCTCTACTTCCCCAGAAGCGCTCACTGCCTACAGTCTGGGTGTGACACCAGCAGGAGCCTCCCAGGGTTGTGTGCTCCAGCCAGCAGAGCCAGTAACACGGACGGGGAGAGGGTCTGGGGATGACGCACCTACAGACCAGTGATGGTAGAAGTCTCTCCGAAGCCGCCTTCAGTACTCCTTCTATACTCTTTCCCCCAAGTCCTTTAGCCAAACAATAAGATGCCGCTGAGTCCCATTAGTCCAGGTGCTTTTAGCCACAAGCCCATCTCCTGTTACTACTCAGCTAAATGAGCGCTAATTAACTCCTTAGCCCACAACAGCTCCTGTGTCTTGATGACAGCGAGAGGCCCCATGGGGTGTTCGCCTGTTCCTGCCCCAGAGGCCCCATGGGGTGTCACATGGTGTATCCACCAGCACCTGCCCATTCACAGAAGCACTCTGCGTTGCTAACCTCCCCACTTGCTCAGCACAGCTCTGTGTCCGTAAGCAGCACCTTGAGGGGCACAGGCGGCGAACGGAACCTCAGAGGAGTCACCCACATGGGAGCCAAGACCCCACAGGCTCCCAATGGTCTCCCTGTACCTCCTCCCAGTTACCAACCTCCAGAAGTTGCCTCGCCTCTCCTTAGATTGATGCTTCCTGCTTTGGACTTGGTATAAGTTGAGTCATGGGAAAGTGGTCTCGTCTGGCCAGCTGGTTTGGCCGCTGTGGGTGGCCTTCTTCCATGTGCGTCGTGCCTACCACCCTCACACGGACACATCAGCGTGTGTTAACCCATGACAATACGAATACATCCTTGGGGAGTGCCCAGCTAGGCTCATTGTGAACATACTCCACCGGCCGATTGAAAGCTGTGCCTTTGGGTAAACGTGTGGGCGTGATTCTTCAGGGCACAAGGCCAGGAAGGGGGTTTTTAAGTTGCAGGAGAGGTGTGTGCCCAGCTGTGGCCAGCACATCAGGCTTCCCAAGTGGCCCTGCAGTTGCTCTCTCTAGCATGGCAGGGCTGGGTTCCGGCTGCGCCCCACCTCGCCCCATGCTGGAGGTTTTCATTGTTGCCAGGTGCTGTTCATTGACGCCCTTCTGGTGGGTGAGTTAGGGTTCTCACCTCAATCTCCTCAAAGTGACCTGCGTTTCCTTTTGTGGCTGGCCTCCAAGAGACAAGGAAGGAATCCCTGCTTAAAAACAAACAAAACAAAAAACCAAGATGGGCACAGGTGCTTTGGGTGGTCCCTGGCATTCACTTCATTCCCTGAGAGCAGGCACCTGGCAAGGGCAGAGTCTCCGATAACACCAGGGCCGATCGCGTGGCTGGTGGAGTTTTAGCTAACGCATGGGGTCTCAGGTAAGGAGCTGTGTCTCCTTCACCTCAGCCTGCTCAACTAAGTGGGCAGCAACAGCAACACGTGGCCGGCGATGGTTGCATAGATGGGCGGGGTGCATGGGTGGATGAATATCGGATCTTCAAAAAACTCCACAGAAAATGTGTACTATGAAAAAACTAGGCGCTGATATTCAAAAGTGGGGTGTTTTTTTTTTGGTACTAAAACATATATATATGTATTTTAATGCCTCTTTCCAGAAACCTTTAAAAGTACCCCCAGTAGGTGGGTGGGTAGATAGCAGGGTGTAGGAAGGGTGGGCAAGTGGGTGGATGCATGGATGAGTGGCCGGTGGCTGTGGGAGGAGGAAAGTACAGCCTTGCTGTGGGTGAGCACGGCCATCCTGCCCAATGGTTGGTAACCAGGATGGCCACGGTCTCTTCACAGGGTTTTCGGACTTGCCCTTGACTCCTCTTCATTGAGTGGCTCTTCTGGAGGGCCAGGGAGAGCAGAGGAGGATGGCAACGGAGATCAGTGCCCGGGGCGGGCAGCGCGCCATCGGGCAGGAGGAGTACAGCCTCTACAGCAGCCTGAGCGAGGAGGAGCTGGTCCACATGGCCATCGAGCAGAGCCTGGCTGACAAGACGCGGGGCCCGGCCGCCCCCGAGGCCGCCGGCTGCAGCCACACCAACCACCAGCCCGCACGCTGCTCCCCCAGCACCAGGTGAGCGAGAAGGGGCCGGCCTCTGAGAAGTGGGCAGCAGTTGAGGCGTGCTGGCCTCCCCCAACACCTTCCAGTGCCTTAAGGACTTGTGTCTGTCTTCTGAGCTCACGGAGATGGTGCCAAGTACTTTGCAAACTGCTGTCCAGCTGGCCCTTACTACCCACGGGGCATGGGTGTCAGAAGTCCCTAGAGACTTTCAGATGTCAAAACCCCTTATATAAAATGGCTTAGGGTTTGTATATGACCTAGGCGCACCCTGCCAGGGACTTTGCCATCTCTAGATCGTTGATAATGTGCTCAGGAAAAAAAGACAGTCTCTCTCCCCAGATATTTTTGGTTGGCTTACTCCATGGATGCAGAACATGAAGATACAGGGGACGACTGCATACCCTTGCATGATTTAGCCCTAGACAGATCCCACGTCCCATTCTACAGATGAGAAAAGTGGAGCCCCAGGCCGAGAAACCAGTCCAGGGCCCGCAGCTAGGGGGTGCTGCTGCAGACATGGGGCTGTCTGCTTCCAAGGCTTGCGTGGGTCTGGCCTTGCAGTTAACATCTGGTGGCCGTTAGAGACCCAATTAGAAAGACACAAACCCAGAGTCTGGGGGGGTTAACTCCCTGTGACCCCTGCTGGAGGAGGCTCTGGTTCCTGTTGTGACTGGAGGCAGACCACAGCTTCCTGCTTCTCAGCTAGGATCAGATAGAGAGAGCAGAGGCTGCAGCAGGGTCCTGGGGCAGCTGCGGCATGGCTTCTGCCCATGGGGAGCCCCTCCCAGGACTCCCGGGGGGCACTCAGGAGCCTTAGCCCTTCTCCCTCCAACTGGAGGTGAAGAAGCGGGGACCAGCATGGGCCGCAGCCTGTCTCCATCCTCCTGGAACAGAAAGTCTCATGGGGAAGTGAAACCCCTCCCCCATGGTCACACCCTCTGCTAAGACCTGGCACAGGTCACCCCCCTCTCCAGGTGGAACCTGGGACCACCTAACCCAAGGTTATGCCGAATGGAGTCCTCCTCCTTCCCCCGTGCGCACACTTCTGGCACGCGAGAATTCACTCAGTGCTTTCGGAAGCCGCACAGGTTGATGGTGGTCCTGTGGCTGCTACACGGATCATACCGAACACGTGCCCTGCAGGGCCAGGAAGCGGAGCACGGCTGGTCTATTTTGTTGACATTGCCAGGGCTGCTTTCTGCTTCCTCTCCAGCCCCTACCCTGAAATAGGGTTCTGGCCACGGAGGCTCCAGGTCCCCAGACCCACAATTCAGGCACACTCCAGCTCACACACCCAAGCCCAAGGAGCTTGTCACCCATGATTCGGACCCGGAGTGCCTTTGAGGAGTGGTGACACACCTGTCCCCAGGGTGCTCCAGGTGTCTCTTCCAGCTCTTTTCCATCCTAAGGTCTGTGTTAGCTGTCCCCAGGCACTGCCCTGAGCATGCTCACAAGACTTCCTTCTGACCTGGTTCCTGCTTGGCCTTGACCGTGACTTACGCTTCCTAGTTGTCTGTTTCAGTCCCTAACCTAAATTCCTGCAGTCCAGGGGCCTCCTGTCAGTCTGCCAGGGTCTGACCCAGGACAAGCACCTGCAGCTGTGAGCGGATAACTGAGTGCGTAAAGGGATGGGATGTGTAGCATTGGAGGCTTGCCCCCTTCCTAAGCCACTCACTGGCTGTGCAGCCTTGGGCCAGTGGCTCTCCCTTCCCGAGCCCCACTGACTTCGTTCCTCAAACAGAAAAGCAAAGGCTTGCCTGTTCACCCTGTGGCTTTCTTCCAAAGGGCATAGTTGAGGAGGCAGGTGTGGGAATGTCCCAGTGCCCTGAGCTTGCCCGAGTACACTGACCAGCCGTCCTGTGGCCAGGTCTGTCTCACACATCAGCTTGCATGTCACCCTGTGAAGGCCTCCTGAGGTGTCGCCATCTACACGGTGGCCTGTATGTCTGTCTGGAGACAGGAAGCAGCTGCTGTGTCCACAGCTGAGAGCCTGTGTGACTAACGTATCTCTATATATTTGACAAATGCATGAACTTCAAAACCAACGGAGTGGGCCAGGCATGCTTCTGAGCAGTTAGCGTTACCCGAGTCTCACACCAGAGCGCCTGGGGTCAATCCCGGCTCCAGTTCGGCTCCAGCTTCCCGGCTAACTGGGTTCCTGCTTCGGCATGGCCCAGACTCGCCTCATTTGGGCATTTAGGGGACAAATCGACAGGTGGGCGAGCTCTCTATCCAAAAATCCAATGGGTCATTATCTTCTCCTGACCCAAATGACAGTCACTGAGCCTTCGGGGTCCCAGGTAGGAGAGCTGGCTCAGTGCCCAAAGGGAATGGAGTTGTTCCTGTTCAGAGCTGTTATAATTCTGAAACACCTGTGCGGGTGGCTGACCAGGCGTTGGCCCCTAGGGGCATCCTGAGAGGCAGCTCTGGCATCCGGCCCTGGGAAGAGGGCGCAAGCTGTGCTTCCGGGAAGTGGGAGCCAAACGCTACCACAGATGGATGCAGCCAGTGGCTACGCATCTCTGTAGACTTCCACATTTTATCTAAGATGTTTCTAAGAAGGCGAAGGGAAGAAACGTGAAGTGGGAACTTGGGTGGGCTGCTGCCCACACAACTGCACACAGTTCCAATCCACCCGCCCACAGCTGCTGCGCACTTGCCATATGCCCTAGGGTGGTGCCTCCCCTGAACTCACAATTGAATGAGCAGAAAGGCTGGTAGGGGCATGGGGAATGGGGCAGGCAGACACCATGCAGGGACAGGACTCGCGGTCTCCCAGGGGCAGGGGCCAGGGGTTACAGGGGCTGCACAGGAGCTTGGTGTGGTAACACGCAGCAGAGCTGCTGCTGCTGGAACCCACGACCTTCTCCACTGGTGGCTCGGTTCTGGCTGACCCAGGAAGCGCAGATCTGCCTGAAGGAGGCTGGCTGCAGAGACTACAGGAATGGGTGTGCAGCAGTGCCAGAGGTTCTGCCCACTCCTCCCAGGAGGCTGGCCTTGCTACCCTGGGGTTTGAGCTCTTCACCACTCCAAAGGCTCTAGTTTAATTGTCCTGACTCCAATTCATTCGTTTACATCCATAAAGCACCTACTGTGTGCCTGGCCTTGTCCTCTTGCTGCATAAGGATCTGATGCAGCGACACACAGTGGCAAGCATGGGAGCCTTTTCACTGGCACCTACTACGCGCCTCAGCGTAGCTACCTTCCTGGACAGGCAGGTTCTCACCGCTTGACCTTGTCTGCAGCTGGGCCCTCCAGGCCTGACGCTACATGACCCACAGGCAGCCTTCAATGTCATGACCTGCGCTCACATCCTCCCTGGGCCAGGTTCCTCTCTCACCTCTGCTGACTCAGCCCTGTGGTTGCTGGGCTGGGTAATGTCAGTGGGGAAGTGGGGCCTCCAGCCTCAATCAGCAACAGCACAGAACAGAGCTGGAGCTCGGCTTCCTCCTGCTGCTTCCTCCCCCGGCTCTGAGACAAGTCACAGTGACCCCAAGTAATGACACCCCAAATCCAGAGCTCCACAGCCCCCCGCTGGACGTCGGTCGGCCTGCCATGGCTCTGTGGTTGTGGCTGTGTCCTCATCTACGCTCCTACCCCGTGAAGGCCTGGAGCCTGTCTGTGGTCCTCTGTCCCTGGCACAGAGCCAGGAAACCCGTGCTGATTGGAACTCAGTCTGTCTGTTTCCCCATCCACATAATGGGAGCAACAAGCCCCTGCTTCCCTCAGGAGGAGACTGACTAGGCTCTGGAGATGTTTGTCCTGCACGCTCACGTGTGAGGGGACATCCCTGCCAACGCCTCACTCCTGCCCCTACCACCATGGCTACCGTGCAGAGGAAGACCCTACATTCAGACCTGGGGAGGTGGTGCTTGGCTGCTGCAGCTACGATGATGCTTTTTATCTAAAAACATCCTGCACAGAGAGGGGTGGAAGCCACACCCCCCTGGGTGAGGGTGGCAGACACAGCTGAGGATTGCACAGAGAGAAGCTCAGGGCTTGTGTGAGACTGCCGAGGTGCGCTGACCCCCGCCGCCTTCCACCTGCCCAGCCCCTCCCGCGGCAGCTTTGTTGGACCTGCAGACATTGACCCTGGCTGGGCCGGGCTCTGCACATTGCTTCTCAGACAGGGCTGTTGGATCTGTTGGGCGCATAGAGCTTTTCCACAGCTACATGAGTGGTGAGAAATTCCCCAATCCCGTGCTGCCCTCCATTTTGTAAATGAGGAAACCGAGGCACGAAGGAGTGACAGGGCTTGTGGGAAGCTAGGGGACCTGCTGACGTGGAGGCAGCGGAGTGGGTGGCAGAAGGAACAGGCATTTGGAGCAGTGGTGCTGACAGAGGGCGCACGTGAGGGTCCCAGCTCGGCTTACGCACCTGTTGCCTGCAGGCAGGTGGCCTTCTCTGGGTGTCCCCCAACCCCAGGGCGAATGAGCTAGGATTCGTGTGTGAACACAGACGGAGGAGTCTTGCTCAACCCAGGGTGAGTCAGAAGGAGAGAGTGATAAGGAGACGGCAGAGGTGGTGAGAGCAGCAGGGGGATGGCAAGGATGAGATCTGCAGATGGCTCGCGTGAGAGTCAGTGGCCTCTGTCTCCTTGCTCTCTCCTCTGCAGCACAGGATGCTGGTCACCAGGGACCATGCCCTCCTTAATCCTACACACAGCTAGCCGCCCCCATCCGACCCCCGCCCCAACTCAGGTGACGGCCCAGAATTGAAGGTTCGTAGGCTGACCTGTAGGAGAGGGCCAATGGGGTGCTCTTGTCTCCTTCCCGCCCCTCCCTACTTCAGGCCAGCCCAGAGGCATGGAGGGCCTGCCAGCCTCCGGGTCGCCCTCACAGCTGCCTGATGGGATTGGCCAAGCCAGCATCCACACTGGGGCTGGCAAGAAAGCAAGGGTCATCCTGTGCCCAGCCTTTGTCTGTCCCTGGCCCCCAGAATGCCCTGTACCCCATTTCCAAGCCAGACCTCCCCTGTTCTCCAACAGGTGCAAGCACTGGGACCAGACAGGGCCAGACAGGGCCAGCCTGTGCCAGGTCCCATGGCCAGAAGTACCCAAGCCTGGGCTTAAGGTCGTATCTCTCTGCTGGACTCTAAGCCCTGGCCCCACTGTCCTTCTTAAGGCCTCCCTGGCTGTAACCTGCAGACTGCCCAGCCCTGGGGTCTCAGCTCAGCTGCCCTGTCTCCCGGCCTGCCCCTACACACCTCTCGTGCAGCCCACGTAGGATGTGCCTGGGCAACTGCCAAAGCCTGAGCTGCTCGGGTCCTGTGACCTGCCAGGGAACGAATGTCACCTTGCTTCCTCTCTGCTGTCTTGTGGTTGGCTGGGGAGGGGGCTGGTCAGGCCGGTGGTGAGGTTAACCTCATTGTTGTCTTATATGGTCATTTAAATCTCCCAGGGCTTTCTCCAAGGGCCAAAAATAATCTGGAGCCACAGCAGCTGTGTCCAGCGCCCAGAGAGGACCAGGCCATCTGCTCTGGCTCAGCGCCCCTGTCTGCTGTCGCTCAGCGCCCCTGTCTGCTCTCACTCAGCTGCTCGCGCTCTCTCCATCCTCGCTTCTGCCTGCAGTCATGACCCGATTCTCCTACGCAGAATACTTCGCCCTTTTTCACTCCCACCCTGCACCTTCCAGGTCTGCCGTGCCCCCCGAGAGTCCCCCAGCCCCGGCACCCATGGGCTTGTTCCAAGGGGTCCTGCAGAAATACAGCAGCAGCTTGTTCAAGACTTCACAGCCGGCGTAAGTGACCCCTGTCCCCCAGCCCTGGACACGGTCAGCTCTGGTGTGCATGCTCTCTGTTGGGGTGGCCGGGAGGGTGGGGTGGGAGGCAGCACCCCCAGGAGGGCAGGGGGCACCTCATAGCAAATCTCGTCCAGGTGCCCCACCTCCCGGTGACCCAGCTGCTCCCCGCTACATTGGGCTCTACTGTCAGGCTGATGTGGGGCTCCAAGATCTGGATGACCCCAGAAAGGGGTGCTGCGGGAAGGGGCGCCCCCCGGGGCTCTGAATGCAGGACTCAGCAGGAGGGAGGGGAGGCAAGGCCCCTGACCCTGGAGCAGGGATTCTACTGTCTTGCCTGTTTGCTTCCTGGCTCCCTGGGGGCAGCCCGGACACTGCACACACCCACACGTTTGACTTTCGTTTCGCTATGTGGCTTTTCTTTGTTAGGTGTCAGGTGCGAACATCTGGGCTTCTTGGCTGCCTGGGTAGTCGCGCTGTCGCTGTCCGCCTCCCTTCTCGGCATCCCTGGGACCCTAGAGACAGTAGAAATTGAATGCTCTCTTCCACCCGACGCCTATTCCTGGCTCCTTGCTGTGCAGAGGGGCAACTGGCCAGCTCTTGGGCCTTGCTGCCCCCGCCCCCTGGTGCCACATACGAGTGGGGCCAGCCACTGGGACAAAGGGTCCCAGTGCTGGTCTCAGCCCAGAGTCACTGCAGGGACCAGGTGGCCTCCAGTATGCCCCCTTGGGGTGTGACGCTGAAGCTGTGGCCCCTTGTCAGAGGCTGGTCCTTCAGCGGGGCTCCACCAGGGAAGGGCGGCACCTACCGACGGGGGGCACTGGCTGCTCTTTGGGGGTGCCTCTCAGCGGACAGGGTGGTGATGGTGTGGACACTTCTGGTTGGTTTCCCACTGTCCTTGCTGGGACCGGGGCCTGAGTGACTTCTGTGCTCTGTGCTATTAATAACCAGGGAGGTTCAGCGTTAGGAGGAAGTGCAGCTCACACTGGTGGGGGAGGGATGGCGGGGGCAGGCACTGGTGCTGGAGACCCCAGGGACCGGCCTGTGACCTCACGGCTCTGTCTGGACAATGGGGCCCCTTCCCAGAAGTAGGTCTGGGAGTCACAGCCATCATGGTCTTCCCTGACTCTTTAAGACTCAGGGAATAACACTGAATGAATGAATGAATGAGTGAGCCATGCACCTGAAGTTGCCAAACAAGAACGTCTTTCTGACTGACGTTCAGAACTGCCAGCTTCCAAGTTACGCTTTGTTGAGGTGTTTGCATTTTTCAATAGTCAGGGGTTGTGGGAGTGAAGACCAGAAAAGGGAGCTGGATGGCTCCTAAGAGAGGTCTGATCCCCTCTGAGGACCCCCTGCCTGCCTTCCAGGCCGGGCAGGTGGACGGGCTGGGTGAGCACAGCTGGCTGAGGCTCAAACACCTCCCTGTGCATCCCCCTAGAGAGGGTCTGGCAGGAATGCCGCAGGAAGCCACTAGATGGGGTTGGCCCCTGAGCTACTGTGGACACTGGAGCTCCCTCTTACACCCCAGAGCCTCTGTGGGTTGCACCAGCTCTGGGCATGATTGTTGCTTACTCTCTAGGGCCGTGGACCCCGTGCTGAAGGCCATCAAGGACGGTGATGACGAGGCCTTGAGAGCCATGATCAAGGAAGGGAAAAACCTGGCGGAACCCAACAAGGAGGGCTGGCTACCACTGCACGAGGCCGCTTACTATGGCCAGCTGGGTTGCCTGAAGCTGCTGCAGCAGGGTGAGTGAGCCGGCCAGGGCTGGGGGGAGAGCCGCTAGGGGACGCTCTGTCCCTAGTGGGGAGGGCAAGTGATCCCCCAGTGCTTGGCCATTGACATCACCAGGTTGGAAGAGCTGAAGCGACGTGTCCTCCCTCCATACCCTCCCTAGAGTTCCCCCCCACCATCACCACCACCAAAACACACAAACCCTGATTCCCTGCTTCTGCTGTTGCCTTTCCAGGCTTCCAAGGGCAGGTCAGCCTAATTCCTAGAAAAGGGTTGAGAGGCTTGACTTTTGAAAGAGCCACAGCCAGCTTGTTCCAGAATGTTCCAGGGGCTGATTTGGTGTGAAGAATGTTGCAGCTGTGCCTGGGCCCTGCCAAGGCTGCCCCTAGCAGCTGGGGGACCCTGGGCCGGTCATGCTTCTCTCAGAGCCCCAGCTCTCTGCTGAGCCAGGGGCTGGTGGGAACCCCTTCAGGCAAGCAACACCCCGGCCCTGCAGCAGGGCCCAACCAGGGAAGGCTTCCCAGAGGAGGTGGCCTCTGAGGCCGGCTTGCAGGACCACGAAGCTAACACAAAGGACCTGGAGGAAGCAGGAGTGGCCTTGTTGATGGGGTGGGAAGAGGCAGGTGCTGCCATCCTTTCTGAACTGGTCCCTTGCTCCTCCCAGCATATCCCGGGACCATTGACCAGCGCACGCTGCAGGAGGAGACAGCCCTCTACCTGGCAACATGCAGAGGCCACCTGGACTGTCTGCTCGAGCTGCTCAAGGCGGGCGCAGAGCCTGACATCTCCAACAAGTCCCGAGAGACTCCACTCTACAAAGGTAAGCCCCGACCACCCACCAAGGTGGGCTGCCTGGAGGAGAAGTCCAGATGCTGGGATGGGCAACAAGGACCAGTGCTCCCATAAGTGCATAACCCTACCTTGTGCCCTACCTTCCCCCCGCCCTGCCCTGGGGATCTCCTTGGAAGGGGGTAGGGCCTGCTCAGACACATCCACCCATGCTCATGGCCAGCCCATGCTTCCTGTGTGGCATTCTGGAGAGCTCTGGGGGCTCACTGGTGGAGAAAGCTTCACCTGTGACCGTGGGGGAAAGAGCTTGGCAGGCGACATTCAGGGAGTGTGGGCCAGAGGCCCTGATGCCAGAGCCGGAACCCTAGGAACCTAGCAGCTGGCCAAGCCCAGGACACACAGTTGTGAGTGAGGCTCCTTGGCAGGGCAGTGGGGAGGGGGCGCTTGTCTTTGCCACGCTTGTGCCCAAAAAGTGAAACTTCCTACCTCTCCAAGGACATTGGCTGTTGCCCTTACAGTGCCGACAGGGACATCAGAATAATCCTAACAGCAAATGTGAATCTGGTGCCTGCCATGCATCAGTACAGGTTTTCTCTTGAGCATCGATATTCATCAATACACAGAGCAGGTGCAGCTGGAGTCCTCACATAGCTGTGGGTGAGGCCCCAAGGCACAGAGGTGTGAAGTGAGCCGCCCACGATCATGAAGCCTGCAAGGGGCAGACTTGGGGTGGCTCTGGGAAGCAGACGCCAGTGCCCCCTTGAAGTCTGTGCCAGCAACCAGTCTGCATGCGCATACCAGGCTGTCCCTCTGAGAAAGTACAAATGTCCCTGACTTCCCGTGAGCACTTGCAGTTGTCCATGGGCAGTGGCAGCTGGGTGGCAACAGGTAACTGGACCTACTGCTGACCCAGGGAGCAAGCGGCGTCCCTGGAGCCCGAGCCTGCCAGGCCTCAGCATTCCCAGCGTCAGCTCCCAGACTGCCGGGCACGTCACAGCAGGGAAAGCTGGAGAGGCAGTGGAGCAGGGAACGACAGGGCTGACTGTGCCAGGACCTTCTTTGATCCAGGATGGACACCACAAAGTTTGCAGGAGACAGGGACCAGCTGCAGCTCCCTGGTGACTGGCCAAGAGTTTAGAGAGAGAGAAGGCTTAAGGGGAGGACCAGGCAGCTGGAGAGGTGTGAGGTGCTGTACTCACATGACAGGCTTCCCCACTGTCAATGGCAGGTGTGAAGTTCTGTGGCTTAATATCTTATATATTATAAGCCTTGGGCAAGTCACTCACCCTTTCTGTACCTCACCTTCCTCATCTGTGAAAGGGGCCACTAGCCCTGCCTCCCTGAAGCAGGGTGTGGGAGGAGCACCGGAGCTAATCACACAAGCCAAGTGTCTGATCGCACTCTGGGCCCCGGGTTCAGGGCAGGGATTTGGACATAGCACAGAACCAGTGGGTGTCTGCAGAGTGACTGGCTGGTTGCTCAGGAGCAGACGGACAAACCCAGGGAAGCCAGGCCCTACTGACCACCTCGCTTCTGTCCCGGCCCCCAGCCTGTGAGCGAAAGAACGCGGAGGCAGTGAGGATCCTGGTACAGCACAACGCGGATGCCAACCACCGCTGCAACCGCGGCTGGACCGCTCTGCACGAGTCTGTCTCGCGCAACGACCTGGAGGTGATGGAGATCCTGGTGGATGGAGGGGCCAAGGTGGAAGCCAAGAACACCTACGGCATCACCCCCTTGTTCGTGGCTGCCCAGAGCGGACAGCTTGATGCCCTGAGGTTCCTAGCCAAGCATGGTGAGTGGCCAAGAGTCGGGGGCTGGGGTAGAGAGCATGGGATCTTCTAGGTGGCTCAACTAGGAAGGATATCAGAACTCAGGGCTAAGGCGTGAAAGATTCCTTTTCCTGGAAGCTTTCTGGCTTCTTTTCTCTCAGGGAAAAGGAAGTTTCTAGAACTACTTTAGCTTGTGGTAAGTTAGAGGGGCCCTGGAGTGTTTCTGGAGCCAAATGGGGTAGCTGATGTCTCCATCCCATTTTATCGATGAACAGACTGAGGCTGAGGAAGGCTGAACTCCTGGGCGCATTCAGATCTGGATTCTGAACACGTCCGTCTGGCTGCAGGCAGTGTTCTCATTGCACTTGACCTCAGCACTTTGGCCCATAAGGGCAGCCAGCGTGGGGCTATGTCCAGAGAAGCGTGAGACTCAGCATGTGGCTGAGCGGTTGGAAAAACAGAGGCGAGGCCCTTCCCTGCGGCTAGGGACAAATCTGCACCGACCCAGGACCCAGATTGGTGTGAGAACAAAGGGGTCTGGGCAGGGTCCCAGGAGGCTGGGGGCTGAGGGTTGGAGGCTCAGCAGGCTAGGATGGGCCGCTAAGCGGGGACAGCTGCCTCGCCTCCCACCCGCACTCTGAGCCAGGGGCTGTGGCCTTCAGGGCGGGGGCTGGCTTTCAATCCAAATATTTCTCGAGTGTGGGAAGCAGCAGGTGGAGACCGGGCCTTCCAGAAGGGCTGGCTTTGATAGTTCAGTGGGGTCAGAGCAGCCCCGACTCCCCACCCTGCCGGGGGAGGAGACCACATCCCCCCGTGGGCACTGGCTGTGCCCTTCCCCATGCCAGTCCCTGTGCACATGCTTGCTCATGGGACCTGGAGGGTTAGGGCCTGTCATTCCGGTCTTCATGCTAGAGACGCAGGCCATACAGCTCGAAATGCAAAACATCGACCTGATTCTCTCCGTCCTAAGCCTACTTTTCCAGCCAGATCAAGCGGAGTCGCTGCCCGTGATGCCGCTGGCATCCCAGATCAGAATGCTGGTTTGAGTCCTGGCTGCTCTGCTTCCAGTTCAGCTCCCTACTAATATGCCAGGCAAGCACCCAGATGGCCCAAGGGTTTGGTCCCCTGCCACCCAAGTGGGAGAGCCAGGTGGAGTTCCTGGTCCCTGGCTTCAGCCTGGCCCAACTCTGGTCATTGTAGCTATTTGGGGAGTGAACCCGCAGATGGAAAATTTTCTCTCTCTTTGCCTTTCAAATAAATACAATGAATAAATCTTTTTTAAAAGGCAAAAGAGCCTGGTCTCACCATCACTGAAAATAAAACCCCCAGAAGTCCTGAGATCCAGAGAGGTGTGTGGCTGATACAAGCCTTGACTAGCAGCCCTGATGTGTCACAGCTGTCTGTTAGCAAGGAGGTAACGTGGACACAGCACAGTGCCCAGCTGCTGGCCTCTCGGCGGCCTCAGCTCTGGTGAGCAGCTCACTGCGCATAGCCCAGGACAGTCCTGTCCTTTCTAATTGGAGGGCGATAAAGTCCGCCAAGTGCCACAGTGGTGGCAGCTGCCCCCATCACACACCCCCCTGCTTCTCCTCCCCCAGGTGCTGACATCAACACGCAGGCCAGCGACAGCGCGTCAGCCCTCTATGAGGCCTGCAAGAATGAGCATGAGGATGTGGTGGAGTTCCTGCTGGCGCAGGGCGCCGATGCCAACAGGGCCAACAAGGACGGCTTCCTCCCGCTGCACGTGGCCTCCAAAAAGGGTAACTACAGGTGAGCACAGGAGCCTGCACAGCCACCATCCCAGGGACCGGCAGGGAGGGGTGGGGCGGGGGCGAGGCCTGCTCCAGTGTCCCACCCACAGGACGAGGAATGCCCAGCAAAGCTGCAAGTACAGGATGGAAGGGACACCTGTAACACGGCCATGGCCGACATGACACCAAGTGCTTCCCCAGCCTGTGCCAGTGCCACACATTGTACACGTAACCCATTCTTTTTGTCACCCCCGGGGGTGGACACTGCTGCCAGCTCTCCTTTGCAGGTGGGGAGGCCCAGAGGGGCTGAGTGACTGGCCCAAATTCACTCAGTTTGGAGGGGCAGGAGTGACACTGTCTGCAGGAACTCATTCAGGGGCCAAGTGGACGCTACGGAGGGTACGAAGGGAGCCCTGCAGACAAGCGGCCGGTGTGCAGGGAATGCACTCGAGTGTAACTGCACACGCTGAGCATTCCCTGTGAGGTGCTGTTTTAAAGGCACTGTCACATTCATGAGTCGATCGATCTAAAACACAGAGACGAACAGAGCTCCCATCTGCTTTTCTTGTGGGGCGGGGGGAGGTTGAAGCCAGAAGCCAAGAGTTCAGCCAGGGCTTCACCAGTGGGTGGCAGGGACCCGAATACGTGTGCCATCACCTGCTGCCACCCACGGTGCTTGTGGGTAAGGGTGTTTACTCTCTTAAGGAATCAGGAAGAACTGAGCCGGAGAGTGACACCCCAGAGGAGGCAGCGAAAACCCCAGAGCCAGAGCTGACTCTGAGCCCCAGGCCATTCTCTGCAGGAAGCCAACACAGGGCCAGCCAGAGATGCTCCCACCCAGACCCCCAAGATGTACCCAGGGGAGACCCAGGCTTCTCTAGACCACATAACTGGCTGCAGGGCACACAGACCTGGGCTCGAATCTCTGCCTAGCTTTTCTGAAACTCAGTCTCCTCTCCTGTGAAATGGAAAACAATGACACCTGCCTCTGGGGGCCATCGTGAGGGTGGGTGACGAGGACGGACGTGGAGAGGGACTGGAAATGAAGTGCATAGTGTGTGCTCAGAGTCTCCGTGCTCCCCATCTCACAGAGCGAGAGCGCGGTCCATCACTTCTCAGCCTCAGCAACACAGGGAAGAGGGCAACACGGTCAGGCAGCGGCCGTGGGCAAGATGGCGCCATTCTCTAATAAAGAGAAGTGTTCAGTGTCCGTCAGAGCTCAACTGACACGACTTGCCTTGAGCTTGGCACCAGAGAAGGCCAAAAGTAAGCTCAGGAAGGGTCTGAGAGCTGAACATCCCCTCGACCCTGGATACCCCCTGCAATACTTACCTGCACACTGGCATCACTCTGGGGGATTGTCAAAGATTGGCTTATCTATTTAAACTGAAGTGTAACAGGGAGAAAAAAGAGAGAGAGACCACCTGCAGGTTCGCTCTCCCAAATGCTTGCGACAGCCAAGGTTACAGCAGCCCAAAGCTTTGGCCTGTTATGAACATAAAGCAGGTCTCCTCTGGCGGTGGGCAGGGACCCAACTCCTTGAGCTGTCGGCGTGGAGCATTAGCAGGAAGCTGGGGTCAGGAGCCAGAGCTGAGCCTCCAACCCGAGCACACCAATAGGAAATGCAGGTGTTCACCAAGCGCATGGCCTTGCAATGCCCTTCTAGTGGGGCTTGGCATGGAGTAAGTGCTCAGCAGGCATGACCATGGTCATTTAGAGTGGGTAATATGCCCACAGTGACCCACAGGGCCATCTGCATTGCTAGATCAAGCACCCCGGGTTGTGGATATGGTTTGGAGAGGCACGCGTGTGCAAGGAAAGCCTGGGGTTGAGAGGCAGAGCTGGCTGTGGTGCCCAGGACTGGCTACAGTGGAGGGTCTGTATGTCCTCACTATTGGGCTACTAAGGACAGCCTGCTGTGGATGAAGCTCTCAGCATGTTCCGCAGTGCCGGGCAGGACGTGAGGAGGATGCCTGAGCCAGGGACAGGAAGCAGGGCAAATTATAACCCAGGACCCTGGTTAGGACACCAGGAAAGGGGAGAGGTCAGGCATTGGGGACGGGGGTCCCTGCAAAGCACCCCACTGTGTCTGCTGGGTTGTTCCACTGGATCTCCCTGGCTTGGCCAGGCTAGGTTGGGCACAGGCATGGGCCTGGCGTGGGGAGGGGACATCCAGGGTTCTAGGGAGCGGGGGCCACTCTTCTCCCCTCTTTAGTATACTCTGAACCAGAGCACTCTCACGCCAGGGCCGCTGTTGGGGGAAGTGGGATGGCCCCAGCCTGATTGGGGGGTGTCACCCCCTGGTCCTCTGCCCTCAGTTCCACAAAGCGAGCTGAGGAAAAGAATAGGGCACACAGTGGGGCCACCTACCAGTGTCAGCTGGGAGTGGGGCATCTAGAAAGACTGGACCCCGGGCCTGCAGACACTGCCCGCGGTCCTCACTTGCCATGTGCTTTCTGTCCAACCCCACAGTCCTCTCAGTACCACCTGTGGGCCTCAGTTCCACCCTCTGTAAAACAAGTGGGATGGATAGATGAATGCCCAGACCCTACCCAGCATTGCACACTTGCTGTCTCCTGGGGAGGATCCTGGAGAAGCGTGAGTCTTTAAACAACACTTCTGGAACCTATCGTAACCTCCCATCGGTTCCCACATGCTTGCTGCTTTTCCTGGGCTGGGCAAGGGATGGTTGGAACATCCTTCTCCCTGTTCTTTCCCGTGCCTGGGCATGTCGTGGCAGTTCCAGAGCATTTGTTGGCTGTGGCCAGGGTCCAGGGGGAGGCCCCAGGCCTGCCTTTGGCCAGCACTTCTGCAGAGCGAGGTCAGGCCTCCAGCGCCTGCACAAATAGAAATTAGGAGGCAATTAGCCCCCCTGCGTGGGTGAATTTCCTTTTGAGGTTTTAGAGGCAGAATTCAGCCAAACATGGTGTCACTAACAATAATAATACTTTCCACTGAGACCACAGTGGGAGGTTGCTGGCACCTGACCTCCAGGAAGCCTGGTGCCAGGAGGAGGAGCAGCGTGGGAACAGTCCTGCTGGCACCTGCTCCCTTCTGCATAGCAACCTCCTCAGCATCCCACTGAGGGCTGGGAAGTCACCTGTCAGCAGGATTGGGGGGATTAAGGGTTTGGGAGTATGTGGCCAGAGTAGGGGTTGAAGTGTTAAAAGGCAAAACAAAGGATTCAGTGACTTAAGGTCCAGCCCCTGCACCTGCACTATGCCCTTTGATTGCTCAGTTCTCAGGCTCCTCAGTGAAGAAGGAACAGATAAGCCCTAGCTACCCCACGGACCTTCCAGGAGGGCAAAGTGGGACAAGCAAGCTGCCCTTGGGGCCACCCGGGATGGTCAGGCCTTGGAGGCCAGGCTGCCAGCATTCAAATCATCCTGGCTGACGGCTCAGAGCTGTGCGTCCTTGGGGAAGTCCCATAACTTCTCTGGGCTCTCTCTAAGCCATCTCAGGGCTGCCAGGAGGACTCAGTAGATTAACCTTGGCAGCCAGTTGAGATCATTACTGGGGGTGCGACAGGGGCCTGGGCTGCAGTGGCTCCAGCCTCAGCTGAGCATGCTCGCGGGGCTAAGGACATCTGCCTTGGAGAGGCCGGGAGAGGCTGGCAGCACCCAATCTCAGGAAAGGGTGAGCAAGCATAGATGGCTGATGTGGTGTGAGGTGCTGGGGCAGAGCTTCTCGGGACCAGGCATTTTTATCACCTGACCACCCAGAACCCCAACTCCCCCAGGTCCCCACCCATCGTGTCAGAAGGGGCCCAAGCAGATTCAGGCTTGTCTGATTCGGACAAGTCTCTCAGATTCGCTGAGGCTTGATTTGGCACATCTGCAAGGTGAAGCCAATGAGACTGGGTCCCTGGGTTGTTGCAAAGATGAAATCCAGCAAAGACTGTAGCTGGGTCGTGGATTTGCAGTCCACCTTCATCCCTACTCTGCTCTGGGACTTTGGCTGAAGCGCTCAGAATCCTTAGTGAGGACAGAAATGATCCCTGAGAACATGGTGCGGGGTAGGGGACGTCCCTCCGAAAGCTCTCCTAGTGGGACCCGTGCCCGCACCCCGAGGACTCAGCCAGCAGCTGGGTCTGACCCGGCAGTGCTCCTCTGCCACACGCTGGCTCACGCCCTCCCCGCCCTGCCCCGATCCCACAGGATCGTGCAGAGACTGCTGCCGGTAACCAGCCGCACCCGCGTGCGCCGCAGCGGCATCAGCCCGCTGCACCTGGCGGCAGAGCGCAACCACGACGCGGTGCTGGAGGCGCTGCTGGCCGCGCGCTTCGACGTGAACGCGCCGCTGGCGCCCGAGCGCGCCCGTCTCTATGAGGACCGGCGCACCTCCGCGCTCTACTTCGCCGTGGTCAACAACAACGTGTACGCCACTGAGCTGCTGCTGCTCGCCGGCGCCGACCCCAACTGTGACGTGATCAGCCCGCTGCTCGTGGCCATCCGCCACGGCTGCCTGCGCACCATGCAGCTGCTGCTGGACCACGGCGCCAACATCGACGCTTACATTGCCACGCACCCCACCGCCTTCCCCGCCACCATCATGTTCGCCATGAAGTGCCTGTCGTTGCTCAAGTTCCTCATGGACCTGGGCTGTGATGGCGAGCCCTGCTTCTCGTGCCTATATGGCAATGGCCCGCACCCGCCCGCCCCGCTGCCCTCCAGCAGGTTCAACGACGCGCCCGCCACCGACAAGGCACCCAGCGTGGTCCAGGTGGGCCGAGTAGTTACTGCGTTTTGGAGAACCCGAGCCTGTTGGCTCCAGGCAATGTGGTCTAGTGTTTGGGACACACCATCAGCAGAAGCTTGTGCAACTTTGGAGTGGGAGGTGGGGAGGGAGCGGTGGTCACGCCTCCTGAGGCAGGGTGAGCTGGCTGCGAGTATACTGCGCAATGGTGGTGACACACTTAGTGTTAACCCGCTTTGGAGCCCACAGCAGAGCCTGCTAGCACAGTATGGGAGTGGGGTGCCACCAGGCCGCGTCAGGTCCATGGAATGATCTGGTCTGGCTCTGTTATGACAACCGCTGGTGGGACCCAAAGTCCCAGCGATCTACATAGCAGGCTCATTTTTTGAGCTGACCCCTATGTATGGCCCACGAATGATGTTGCAAGTATCCAACCAGCCCTTGGCAGAAAAAAGGTTCCCCCGGCCCTGCTAGGTGGGGGTGCTTAGCTGTGGTGTCTCAACAGGGAGCTCCTTAGTCTGGTTCATGATGTGGGGGAGTTTAAGGACCCCCCCCCCCAGGACTGTTGCAGTGCAGTGGCTTCCCCTGCTGAGATGCATGTAAGTGAATTGGGGAGGAACTGGGCGGGGGGAGGAGAGGAGCAAAGCCAGACCCAGAGGCAGGAACCACCGATGTTGCTATAATGGGCAGTACTTTCCATGAAAAGGAAATCCGAAAGGCTCTCATCCTGGAGGTCAGAGTGACCGGGGCTGTCTGTGGGCGCCCTCCTGGACTCCTGTGCCCTTGTCATTTTAAAATTCCTGTGGCTGGGGTCATGTGCCCACTTCACAGAACGGGGAAGTGGAGGCTGCAGGAGCCAGCCTGTATTGAACAGCACGGGTTTTTGCAGAAGTGGGTCCTGACCTAGCCACACTTGTCCTGTGGTCAGTCTGAAGGGGGCCCAGGGTCCCCTACCGGGGGCTGTGTTTGCTGGGGTCAGCTAATACGTGCGCACTTTCCAGTTCTGCGAGTTCCTGTCTGCCCCCGAGGTGAGCCGCTGGGCGGGGCCCATCATCGACGTGCTGCTGGACTACGTGGGCAATGTACAGCTGTGCTCGCGGCTCAAGGAGCACATTGACAGCTACGAGGACTGGGCCGTCATCAAGGAGAAGGCAGGTAGGGGCTGTGCTGCTGCTGCTGGCCCCGGCCAAAGGGAGACTGACCCTTGCGGACACTTGTCCTCTTGGGCTGTATCCTCTGCTTTGTGTGGTGGAGCTGGGATTCAAACTCCCTGCCCAAGGCCCTCCACTAGATCTTTCCATGTGGTTGTGTTTATTTATTTATTTGCAAGGCAGGGAGAGAGCAAGTGAGACACACACACACACAGAGTTTCCACCTGCTGGGGCATTCCTCCAGTTAGATGTCAATAACAGCTAGAGTTGGGCCAGGTTGAAGCCAGGAGCTGGATGCTCAATCTGGGTCTCGCACGGAGCCAGCAGGGACCCAGGTACACTGAGCCATCACCTGCTACCTCCCAGGATGCACATCAGCAGGAAGCCAGAATCAGGAGCAGAGCTGGGACTAGAACCCTCTGATAGCAGGTGCAGGCGTCCTGAGTGGCCTCGCAACTGCTGTGCCAGACTCCTACCCCAATTCCTGTGCATTTGGTCACTGTTAGGCACTATTGTGGGGTCGAGCAAGGCATGGCAGTGTAGAGCACTTCAAACTGCACAGGGTCGCTCTCCTTTTAAATGTAGCTTCCTGGAGTCCTGTGCTGTGGCTCAGAAGGCTAAGCTTCTGCCTGACACTAGCATCTCGTGAGAGTGCCAGTGGGAGTCCCAGCTGCTCCACTTCTGATCCAGTTCCCAGCTAAAGCACATGGGAGGACAGGAGAAGTTGGTCCAAGTGGGCAAGACCTGGATGGAGTTCCAGGCTTCTGCTTTTGGCGCTGGCCAAGCCATGACTCATGACCATTTGAGGGAGAATGAACCAGAAGACAGGAGATCCATTTTTCTGTCACTCTGCCTTTCAAATAAATAAATATTTTTCAAAATAAATGAAAATACAGCTAGCTCCCTGGATTTGGCAGTCTGGGTGGCACCACTACCGCTGGTCCTCAGACCACCCTGGCAGCAGCCCAGAGCCCGCCTTGCCAGAAGTTCAGGGTGGCTCAAGTGAAATCCTCCCCACCTGGGTAACTGCCCAGCCCCACTCCGCTCTGCAGCTGCTGTCTGGAGTGGAGGGGATGCAGCCTGGCCAAGGCAGCCAAGGCAGCCAGGGTCTCTTGTGCAGCTTCAGAAGCAGGTGCTGTGGAAGTTGCAGGTGACAGTAATGGGCACCTTTGCAGAGGAGTCCCCGCCCAGACAGGAGTAGTTGCTGCTCCTTGCTCCTGTGTGCAGTGACGCTCTGCTCCCTTGAGCTCTGGCTCCGACTCGCCGGCTCTTTGGACCTGGACCTACTGCAGGGATTTTTTATTTGCATCACTGCCTGGGAAACATTTAAATGGAGACCTTTGATAAAGTTGCTGGAACTGCCCGTTGCCCTGGGTTGATGTGGATGCTGGCTGAGCTGTCATCCAGTGGATGTTGTCACCACCCGCCATGGCCACTAGAGGGAGCAGTGATCCATGCCGGGATGTCAGTTCTACCTGTTCTGTCTTCCCTGAGCAAGGGTAGTCCCTCCCTGCTGAACCACCGCCCAGGGGGAATAGGAGGAGGACTTTCATTTCATGTCAGTGTTTATTAACGGGCAGAACATGTAATTCTTCACCAATAGCCATTTCACTTACCTTCTGCAAACACCTGCTGCGTGCGAAGTACACTCCACCTGCTTTCTCCTTGAATGTTGTGACCTTGACTTTGATGGTTGGTCAGCCCAGCCCTCACAGCCCCGGGTCCTCTGCTCACCAGAGGAAAGATGCTGAGCTTCACCAGGGCAGCAGGGAGGCCCTGCCCCACAGCGCTGGGCATGGGCACCCTGGCTGGTCAGGGCTTCAGCTGCCCAGCCCTTGGCCCTGGCTCCGATACGTGCTATTTCGCTCATTGGTGTGTCCTTGTCTGGCACAGACTTGCCCACCCTGGGAGACCCTGCTTGGCTGTCGCAGGCCCAGTGCAGGTGACACCTCCATAGCTTTGTCCAACACAGAGGGGCCCGATATCTGCTGAGTAGAGAGGGGTGGTGGTGGTGGCACTTTGGTGGGGCAAACATCGTTCCTGTGCCCGCGCTATGCCCCAGGCTGAAATGACCCCATTATTCAATGTATCAGTCCCTGCCCTGCTGTTGCCCACTGTATCCCTACTTCCCGTGCTGGGAAAGGCAGCCAAGGGGGATTCTGGGACTTTTAGGGAGCTGCCGAGGCCCTGACCCTTTGGCCTGGCCTGTGGACCCCAGCAGAAGCCCAGAGCTGAGTCCCGTGTGTATGTGGGGGTGCACATGGGAGGTCATTTGCTGGGGCTGTGTTTGGGGTTCCAGACTGAAACAAGAGAGACATGCTAGCTCCCAGAAGCATCCCAGAACCCATTCAGCTTCACTCTATCTTGCCTGAGAAATGGGTGCAGTATCCTACCCGCTCTGGCTGGCAGCGATAGGGCTTACCAATTGCAGTACCCCTCTCCTTACCTCCCATAGTCCCCAGATCATAGATATTTATCTTGTGCCAGCTGCAAGCAGCGGGTCAGCATCTGTCTTTCCCTCCCATTTGCAGAGCCTCCCAGGCCCCTGGCGCACCTCTGCCGGCTGCGGGTTCGGAAGGCCATCGGGAAATACCGCATCAAACTCCTGGACACTTTGCCTCTCCCGGGCAGGCTGATCCGGTACCTCAAATACGAGAGCACTCAGTGACCAGGGCTTTCCACGGCGTCTCTCACGGTGTGGCCCCTAGACCCACGGGGTTGCCAGCCGGTCGCAGGAGGCAGCCACAGCGCTCTCACCAGGACTCGGGCCGGAGCTCCTCCCAGAACAGAGAATGTGATATGTCAAGTGTGCGTTGCCAGCCACCGAGTCCGCCACGGCGCTTGCCTGTCTTTGAGCCTGGGGCAGCACTGGTGGTGGTCCTGCCTGGAGAAGGCAAGGCCATCAGGGGCCCCTGGGCTGCGGCGGACGCAGATGACCTTAAGGGACCGGAGGAACTCACGTCCCAGCCTTCCCAGCATCCCTGCCCCCTGCCCTGTGTTACGCTTGACTCCCAAAGTCTTTTACCAAGTTGGTGGCCCAGGGCTGGGAGAGGGAGATCTCTGGGTCTGGGCCGGGGGGACTTTGTAAAATACAATAAATGTGCACACACATCTTCCTGCTCAGCCGATCCCGACTCCCTGAGCTGCAGGTCCTCAGCCTGGCCCTGGGCACACAGCCTTGGGGCACAACACCTTGCTGTGGTCAGGAGAGAGACCCTGGGGACTGCTTGTTGATCCTCCTGCCTTAGTCACCATGGAAACGAGTTTCAGCACAAGAAAGGGGTTAGTTGGTGCCGCCCAGCTTTCCAATTCCTAGGTGTGTCTGGCATGTGTATTCCTGCCCAGCTGTTTCCTGCCTCCTGCTCAGCTGCCACAAAGACTGAGTGACTGGGCAGGGTGGTGCTGGGGAGACTCCAAACACCGGCCACTGTGAACCACAGTGTCAGAGAGGTGGCCGTGGCCAGCCCTCGTGGAAGCATCAAATTGATCGGCCCCAAGCCCAGTCTCCCCCTCTGGGCCTCACGTGGAGTGAGTGGGCAGCCTTGGTCACCCCAGTTCAGGCAGCTCAGCTGAGTGTGCAGAGGGTGTCCGGGCCCCTGGGCTGAACCCCTGGCCTGCTCTGATTCCATGAAGTTGCACCCACTTGTCAGGGTCCCCTGCACCTGCTGTTAAAATCACTGGGGGTTCTGGCTGTTTCGTGGCCGTAACGATGAGGTGACTGGGTCAGAGTACTACCCTGGGCTCTGTCCTCGTGTCTGATAGAGTATTAAGCAAGGTAGTTTGGGGCCTTTGGGAGGTCAAGTGAGGGGTGAATGGCACTGCCGTTGGCTTGCTCCTCTGTGCAGTGTGCCATGGTGGCTATGCTGACTTCCGGGGAAATGGTAGATCCTAGCCCCTACATGGGGAGGGAGGACTTTGCAAGCAGGACTTGGCAATCGAAGTTGAAAGGAGCTGAGATGGGAATCAGCGCCCCATAGAGGAGGTTCCCCAGAACTGCAGCTCCGTGGTGGTGGCCTGGGTCCTGGGCTGCCCTCACGTCTACCAGGCAGAGCCATTGGGTTGCTGAAGAAATCTCCCTGCAAAAAAACCCTGCATCACCCTCACTGGAGCTGCTCAAGCTGAGGGTCTAGGGGAAAGCTGCCAAGTTCAGGTTCAGCTATGGTGATGGGGCCAGGGGAAGGGAACGGCCTAAGACATCCCTGCTGGGCTGGAGCCAGGGACCGGCCTTTTCCTCTTCATGACTGCCGGTCAGAAGTGATCGCGAGGGGGGCAGGTGAAGATGGGTTAAGGCTCTCAGGGTTGGTTCGTGAGTTATCTGAGGGGGTGCACAGAGGTTGGGGACGGGCACCAGGCAAACATATCATTTCTCAGGCCACCTTACAACCTGTGGAGTTCCAACATTCACAAATCTCTACCCACTGGGGAGACCCAGGAACCGGGAGGGGCGGGGCTGTCACTGCAGGTTCCCTGACACAGATGTGCGCCTGTCTGTGGTGTGGTAGAGCTTGTGCCTGTTGTGGGGCATGACGACCGATTGCTCTTGGAATGTCCTTGCGGTCACCACGTTCGCAGGGAAGCAACCAGATGGGCCCACCTGCTTTGTCCACAAGACACCCAACTCCGATTGACCCTTGACCTGGTCGACCCTGCCTCTGCTAGAACACGGCTGTGACCACAGCCAGCGTCACGGTGGAGAGGCAGCACTCAACCTCCTGCGAGGGGGAATCCCCAACAGTGGGACAGCTCCACCTCTCCCCAGTGCCAGAGGCACAGGTAAACGCCTGTTACCTGAAAGGTGCACCCAGGACCTTCCTTGGGGGGGCTCCTCCCCGCCCTGCCCCAACCCCTTTCCTGCCAGTTGAACTCCGGGGTCCCAACACTTCTTTCCAGACCCCCAAGAGGCTCCAGGCCACTCCCAGCTTCCCCCAGCCAGGTTCAGCCACCAACAGCCCTCAACCTGGGCCCAGCTTGGGCCTTGTTGGGTCTGGGGACCATGCAAGTTCGTCACACCCAAGCTGTGGAAACTGCAAAAGAAGTGTCTTTATTCCTTGAACTGTCTTAATATTTACAACGAACGACAACAACAGCAACTGGGATTGGCTCACACCATGGGTGGCGGCCGAACAGATGTGTAACTGGCATGGAGGGGAGAAGGCCGAGTCGCACTGCTTGCAGTCCAGCTGGGGATGGTGAAGTGATGTCTTGGGCTCTGGGTTTGGCTGGAGAGGGGTTGGCTGAAGCAGCGACCGTCTGTTTGAAGACTCCCACCCCAACCCTGTCCTCCCCAGCCACACTTCCTCCCCATGAAGGGAGGGGGAATTTGGAATGCCCAGGAATCTCCACCTCCACTGACATATGATCTCGCCCATCCTCAAGGACTGCCACACTCCTACAGGTGGGGAGGCTGAGCCCCGCCTCCCCCCATTCCAACCCCCACCCGGCTAGAGGTAGCCAAAGACGTTAAAGATGGGCGGGGGCATGGCTGGCTTGGTGGGGATGGGCTTGAGGACCACGGGCCTGTATACCTTCTGGCCCAGGCCATCCACATCTTTGCAGAAGTGGCTTAGCTCCCCGGGACAGGCTGGGTTCTTCTGCCACAGACCCAGGCTGGGCACAGGGCTCAGGGGCAGGAGGCCTGGAGGACCCGGGTAGATGGGCTGTCCATGGTACTGGAAGGGGCAGCAGCTCCAGGCGTTGACCCGGCCCACCAGGGGTACCCCGGGCATCTTGAGCAACTCCTTTTCAGCCAGAACCCTTGGGGACAGGGGTCCCAGGGCAGTCTCGGGTCCCAAGGGTTCCAAGCCCTTGCAAGTTTTTTTTCCCTCATAGGGATGTCCCTGTCTGGGGTCCAGTCCTCCCTCCAGCCCCATGGGGTAGCTGTGGGTGGGCCTCGGCTCTTCCCAGAAGGAGGCAGGCAGCTGTCTTTTCCGCATGGGCACCTGGCCAGGCCTGGCAGCTTCTGGATCCTGCCCCTGCAGGATCTGCTCCTGCGAGAGGCATTCCCCGGGGACAGGATTCCCCAGGCCCTTCTCCTTGCAGCCCCCACCTCCGCTGGGGCTGGAGTCGGGACACGAGTCGAGGAGCAGCCTCCCTGGGCGATCTTCTGGCCCCCTTCTCAGGTGGGGCTCAGCGGCTGCTCTGCCGGGCAGGCCCCGGGGGAGCCGGGAGTACTTCTGGGAAAAGCGCTTGAGTTGCTTCTGCAGGTACTTGCGGTGGTCCACGGAGCGGCGGCAGGGTGCTGACTTGTCCAGGGCGGCCTTGATGTCACTGGACGCCAGGTTCACAAAGTTGAGCAGCATCTTCACCTCACTGTCGGATGCCATCACCGGGGGCCCACTGCACGGGGCTGTCCATGAAGCGGGGGTGGGGAGGGGAGCTCGGTGGGCGGCGGCTGGGAGCTACGGGGAGGGGCACGGAGCTGACCTGCGGGACACAACAGGCTGTTGGGGTCCCTCTGAGCAGCCAAAGCCTTCCCTGCCCATAGGCCACACCGCCTGGCGGCACACAGTGTCCCCAGAGCACCTGTGGCTGCTAAACAGAGCATTTCCGAACAGCTGGGTTGGGACAGGCATTCATGGCCTGGCTCAGCCTCCTGATCCTGTCACATGTTTCTGGCGGTCGAGGCTCAGAGAGGTCGAGCGGCCGGCCCAAGGTGACCCAGCCACAGGTGGCATTGCCGGGACTCAGTCCCACCAGCCTGCCGTGTCTCCCACATGCCGCCCTGCTGGTGTGCAAGGCTCTGCCAGAAGGCTCTGCATTTTTTGCGTTTGAGGTCCCACCGGCTGCGCTGTAGAGGAAGCCAAACCCCCTTTTCCTTGGTGGTGGCCTCCTCCTCTCACCACACCCCTCCCCAGCCCTGCCAGCAGCAGCGCCCACCCTCCAACCCCACCACCCCCCTTGCTAGTCCCCACGCTCCACCCCCAACTCTAACACGCAGGACCAGAGGCAAGACCCTTGTCTGGCACTCCACCGAGAGCCCTGCCTCGCGGGCTGATGGCAGGCTGTGGGGCAGTAGGGATTTCCCCATTGCAGCATCTGCGGCAATTTCATGCCTCCCCGGCCACCACCCGCAGCACCTCGCCCCTCCCGCCCCCGGCCTGCCCCATGCCCCCACCCTGCTCCTCTCCTCCCCGCCCCCCCAACCCAGCCGGGCCGCAGCTTGGGGGCCTCCACACTGACCAGGAGGTGCGGGCGCCGGGCCCCCGCCAACGTGCCCCGGCAGGTTCCCCACCGCAGACCTGGGGCCGGCCCGGCGGCGCGGGCGGCGCCGGAGCTCCGTGGGGCCGCGGGCAGTTGTGCGGCCCTGGAGTGGGTTGAATGGAGGACGACTCCCCGGAGCTGGGGGGCCCCCTCAGGCCAATCAGGAGCGCCTCTCCAGACACAAAGCATCCCAATCAGGCGGCGGTGCCCCGTTCCCACATTCTTTGCCGACACAAATTGTCACCATGGGGACCGTCACAAAAAAGCCAGCTCCCCAATGCAATCATTTCCCCGGTAAAGTTCTACCCTTCAGCCTCACTCTGCCAGGCCCCCACGCCCCTCCTCCTCTTGACCTCACTTTCCTGGTTCCTTGAAGGGGTAGGAGAGTGTGTGCATGCATGCGTGTGAGCGTGCGTGTGTGTGTGTGTGTGTGTAGAATGTCCAGGAGCGAGGAGGGGCCAGGCCCGATGCAGACGGACCCGCAGGCCTCCCCCACAGGACCCCGGGCCTGCAGCTGCCATGCTCCACTGCAGAGAGACAATCGGACGGGGTAAGCCAGGCGGGCGGGTCTCCTCGCTGTCCTTGAGTGTTGAGTGTCTGTCTCTGCCCCTGTCTCTCCCTCTCTCTCCCTGCCACCCTGGCAACCCCATAACCTGTCGGGATCCCATCAGGGCTGGGGTGCCAGAGCGCCCACGAGCCTGGGAGGTTCCCCGATGGCGGGTAAGGTAGCCCCGGCAGGGATAAAGTCCCAGGATATCCATGGGAAGGGAGCCGGAGCCCTCAGGAATCTTGTCTTTATGTTTGCTTCCTCAATTGAGCTGCACAAAGCCTGAATTGCCCATTCAGCACGGCTGGACAAAAGGGTGGCGTTGCACGGTCCCCTTGCATTTGTAGTCAAACAGTTAGGGACTTAAATCGAGTCGTCATGATGGAGAAAGAGGTGGACAAAGCCCATAGAATTGCCATCAGCAAACATTTTCCTGTGTCATATTAGCCAGTCTCCATGGCTCCCCCTGGCCTGGGGACAATGGCACAAGTTTGCACACTTGGCTACTGTCACCGTGCCAACGCCGGCAGGGCTGCAAGCAGGGCTGCTACGAGCGAGCAAGGGAGTCCTGGGCCAACACTGGCCCAGGAAGGTGAGGCTGGTGGCAAGGGAGATGGCCTGGACAGCGCTCAGGGGCGAGGCCCGCTCCAGGGGCCCCTCTTACGCCTGCTGCTGCTCCCTGTCTGGTTCTGCTTGCTCTCCTTCCCTTCAGCTCTGTTCTCTGGTCAGCCGGGTGGATGACAGCCCCTGCACCCCCTGCACCCCGTCTGCCAGGACCACGGGCCCATCAGGAGAGATGGTCCCACCCCTTCCTCTAGCCAATAAGACAGCCGCAGTGGGGTAAGGGGCACCTGCCCACAGTGGCCTGCCTCCGAATCGCTCCCTCTTCTGATTTGAAGGTCTCTGCGGCCCAAATGAAGTGCTTGGAGGTTGTGGCTGGGAGAGACGAGCCATCACTCTGCCGCATACGGCCGGCCAGGCCCCTGCCTCTCGGCCCCTACCCCTTCTCCTGCTGTCAGGGCAGCCCTGGAGTGGGTCAGCAGTGCCCGCGGACTGACTGGGCTGACTGCTGAGTGCAGCTGCCAGAGCACAGGCCTTCTCCTGGGTCCCGAGTCCAGCCCTCCTTTTCCAGGAGCAAAGCCTGATTCTGCTTCTGACTTAGAATAAATTAGGGGAGCATGGAAGTCCCCCCCCCCCCCAGGGTTGTGTGAGGGACCAGACCCAGCCAAGCGAGCATGGATGTGCCCTCCAGACAGGGAACCCTGCCACTGCCATCCCCCAACCCCTGCACTGTTGCTCTGTGAGGACTCAGAGGATGCCTACTTCCCACAGCTCCGCCTCGGCCAAGCTGTTGCTCCTTGCATCTCGGGCTCAGCTGCAGGGCCTGGCCCGGGACAGCATGCCCATTCCACGGAAGGGTGGGAAGCAGGCAGCATCCCTGTCTGACTTGCTGGCATTTGCCTCAGACCCCGCCCAGTGCCTACCTCGGCCGTGGCCTGGAGCGGGTCTCTGTGAAGGACACTCAATGCTGCTTTGCTTCTGTTAGATGACAAGCTGCGGCCACAGGCTGTGATGCTGGCAAGCTCTGCGTCGGGGCTGTGCGCACACTCTGTTAGAGGCCAAGGGGGCTGCACCTGGGCCACCCACCCCGCTGCAGTGGGCGCCTCCGGCCTTACTTCCCTATCGATCAGTATGCTTCTCGGCCCTTCCATGGTGCTAACCTGGCGTCATGCTTATTCAGGGATATCAGCCCCATCAAATGCCTGCTGTGCGCTGGGGAATAGAGACGCATCCCCTACCTCGTCTCCATGACCAGAGAGCCAACATGTATCCCAACATTCTCCCGAGAGCTGCCCCTGCATGCTCTGGGCACCACCAGACCCAGTCCCCAGCATACGTGTGGCCTGGACACATCATCACCAAGAGGGAGGTGGCAGGGCATGCTCAGGTCCAGGCTGGGGTCCTTCAGAGGAGGTCACCCGAGCAAGCAGCTGGGCATGTTGCTTGGCAGCAGAGATACCTCCTCCAAAGTGCTCGGTGTGGGGCTGGCTTTGGGCCTGCAGGCTAGGCTGCAGTTCCAGGCCGTGGTTCCCCTCAAGGGAGCTGCCTCGAGTGGGGCTGGGGGACAGAGCAGTTGCATGGAGCCCCGGGCAGAGTGCTGTTAGGAGCAACGGGCAAGGCATGCCAGTCATAAGCCGTCAGCTGGAGGGGTCACTGCCCCCCATCTGGGAAGCAGCAGTGAGGGCCCAGGCAGGGAGTCCCCAGCACCCACACAGGAGAACTGCCTGGCCGTGGCTCCGGCCCAGCCCCTGTTCCTGTGGGCATCTGGGACGCAAACCCACAGGTGGGAGCTCTATGGATCAGTCTGTCTCTCCTCCTGGCTCTCCAGTGAAAACAATCCGTGTCTACGTCAGAGAGGTCCAACACTGGTGCCGTGTGCTCAGTACGAATTTCCACAACCCATCACAGTCCTTCTGTATTTGCAGACAAGGCTGTGTAGATGAGCTGAAACTTTGAAACAAGTCCCGCATCAGCCACTTCTCCTCCTCCCTCTCCTTCCTCTTCTTAGTTTTATTTTTTCCCTCCTGGTAGTGGAACGTTTAGAAGTATCTGGATTTTCAGAGATAAAAGGCTGGAATGGTTATTTTCTTTCTCCCTGAAGCGGATCTTGCAATTTCAAGGGAGTCAACTACGGCAGCTCACATCTTTGGCCCCGGAAGAGCTGCCTTGGCACCTTGTGTGTGGGTCAGCTGCTATGCAGCCAAGGGTGTGGTCGGGGTGTTGGTTTTCAGTTCGTGGGGTACCAGATTTTGAAGAGTCAGACATAAACGTAGGCGGCCTTTTACACCTTCGCATCCATGCAGAGATCTCAGCCCCTGGAGGGGCACTGGCTCATCGCAGAGAGGGGCAAAGCACGCCCCACCAGGAGCTCTGCCAATCACTGCCCCCCAACACCGCCTGTGGCCACACTGGCTCTTCTTCCACAGAAGGGGAAATGAAGGCCGACATTGGCTGGGAAACCTGCCCGTGACCTCCTGGGTTCAGGCCCCTGGTCATGATCATTGAGGAGCGCTGCTCGGTGGTGATGATCCCTGCCCCCTGCCCTGTGCACCCCAGGGATGGTGGGCATTCCCCAGCAGCCCGACCAGCACCTGTGTGGATGTGAGGACCTTTATGTAACCCTGATGGGCCTGAGGCTTTCTGTCACATGGGTTCACTGCAGGTCAGCTCCTTGGCCTGCTGGCATCGGTTATACTGGCTCAAAGTAGAACCAGGCGGAGCACTAGCTGGTCCCTCTGCAAGTAGGAGGTCCCATGATAACCCCTCACCACTGGAAGTCACAGCCCACTGACCCATCCCTGCTGGCTGGAGCGGATAGTCAAGTCCCCCTGGAAAGTGGCTTTGCTCACATTCCACTAACACCAAAGCTGGGCAGTTGGCTTTGAGCTCCGCCCCTGCCTGGGGCCACTTGTTTTCCCTGGGCCTCAATGTCCCTGTTGGACTATATCAGCAGCGCGTGGCCTCCACGTTGCATGCTGGGACACACATCACGTGTGATGGTGTGATTTTCCAGAAGGTCGCAGCGTGCACTGGAGCCGGTTCAGCATT